ATGTGTATGTGTGTGTGTGTGTGTGTGTGTCTGTGTGTGTGTGTGTGTGTGTGTGTGCGTGCGTGTGTGTGTGTGTCTGTGTGTGTATGGGGGTGGAGGGTACCTTGAAGGACATTGTGTATTAGAAGAAAAAAAACGTCAAAATATCCAGGGCTTGAGAGAAGCCATCGTTGAGTGTACGAGAAAGATTTTCCCCAACAGTGAGAACGCATAGATGATTGTAGTTTCACCCAGCGAGTCAAAATAAAACTTACTCGAAATGGGGGGCATCTAAAACATATCTCGTAATTGTGTTCCTGGCTGTAATGTTTATTGACATTATAAGATTTAGAAATTGCGGATTAAAATTCTGTGTTACCTAGAACTTTTGTGGCAGTATTTGAGTTCTTTTGGACGAACTTTTGTTCTGTTAACCCTATACATTCGACTTCAAATTTTCAATGTTTAATTTAGTGACATGTCAAGGCTTGGGAAATATTAACAAAGAAAGAAATCGCAACGTGAGATGAAAGCTATCCGTTCTATCAAGATACTGCACCACATATTAATATTTTTATGTTCCCTCTCTAGTTCTACAATGATCACCCCATGGAGCAAGAGTTTGTATATATGTGAGACATTGTGGTGAAAACAGGCGTAAGTCAATAAGTATGAAATCGATGAGTTGGGTATTTTTTCGAATATTTTGCTTTGAGCACAGCACCTTTTAGGTGTATTTTAAAATACACTACTGCATGGATTTTACTGAAAAATGTCGATCAAAAGTATAGAAAAAAGTAAATTTTATGCGGCTTTAAAGGACACTCCAGCCCCGGAAGTCACCAAATTCTAACAGCAGACCCCACTTCTTTCAGTTGCAAATATCTCAACTTCTTTTCAAGATAGAAGGGTAATGCATCAAAACCAAGGCCAGTGAACAGGCTTTAGGACTATACTAATAATAGTTATAATTCTCTCTGAAAAGAAAGGACGCACGCCTGATTCCAGCGTGTCGGGACATAAATGGTAAAAAGTGCCATAATTCACGTTTTCGATTTTTTAATTTTAATTTTTTTTTACTTCAGTCGATTTTCTCACCTTTTAAAAAAAGATTTCACAAACTGTTACGGTTTACATTTGAATATCCTGCCCTAGAACTTACCAAGGTCAAGGCAAGACTGGTAAAGGTTTTTGGCACTCGCCACTGCACTCAGATCATCACTTGTCAACGGTTCCTCCAAGATTCCTTAGAAATAGAACATTTAAGATTAATACATGTAAATCTTTTTTGAGAAATATTTCAAGCCAGGAATAATAGCGAGAATGAAAAAATAATAGGATTATCGTATGTGCCATATATCAAAGACTAAAGCTGATATGATTTCTTATCCTTTTCAACATGATATTTTGTATCGGATAATTTTTATTTGGACTATATATAGCCCAAATAAACACTCCTCTTATTTGGGGTATAGACCTGCTACTAACCAGACAATATATAGTTACCATTGTTACCCTAGCATTCTTGGGGTGAAAACCAGAGACTGCCAGTCTTTTATTTTCAGGATTTACTAGTATTTCTAGAGGGTGCGGTGGCGGAGCAGTAAGTTAGTGCGCTCGTCTCCGAAGCGGAAAGTCCGGGTTCGAGCCTCGGTTCGGACACGAATTTTTTTCGCCCTCTCCTGCCCACCCAGCAGTAATGGGTACCTGACTTTGAGTTGGGGAAATAAAGCAGTGTGGAAAAGAACTGGCCTCCCTATCACAATATGCCGAATCCCCAGGAAGTTATCTCACTAACGAGGTCATCCCCAATGTCCGGATTGGATGCTGGAACAACTTTACTTTTACTAGTATATTCTATTTATGTTATACTGAATTAATTATAACGTAAGTTATACACTTGTAGTGGTATACTGACGTCTAATACGGAGATAAAACTAAACTGAGCGACACAATGTCGAACTTGGAATACACACAATAACTCTTGAATTCTAGAGATCAATTTATTACGATCTCAATGACAGGGTTGCTCAAATAAGTGGTTTATGTTTATTTCTCTTTTCCTTCTTTCTTTCTTTTTTTCTTTCTTTCTTCTTTCTTTCTTTCTTTGTTTTTTTGGGGGGAATTTTTTTTGGGGGCTGTATGCAGCACAAACGAGAAATCCGTTCTATACCAAAAGTAAATTTTCGAATTTGCGTTTGTATTTCATAGGACAAAATAAGATTGTGTCCCAAAACTCCATTAACTTGCTTCCTACCACTCCCTATTCCCAAACTCCTTCCCATTTCGAGAATAGTAGCATATCAAACTGTTTTTAGTAGAGTTGGGGCGAGCGGACGGACGGGTTCGTTACTCGCGGACTCAGTCAAAGCGAACGGGTAACGGACGGCCATGAGAGCGAACTGCGAACCTCAAGACCGTTCGTTTTTTGGGTCCACTCCACAATTTGACTCTCTCAGCGAGCGGACTGCGGACCTCAAGCCTCAAGTCAGTTATTTTTTTGGGTCCGCTCCACAATTTTATTTACTGGGTGGGCGGGCGGTCGAACGGACGAACTCCTCTAGCAGCGAGATACTCGACGCGAGATTAGACCCGTCGTCTATTGTTTGTTAATTAGGCCTGATGTTTCAAACCACTAGCGGTGCCACAGGGAGTGAGAGAGGCTGGTGACGTAGTACTATGTGTGTAACCTTTCACCTCGTGCGTGGGGCACACTGTGTACGTTCCAACTATCTCAAAGGCGGGGGGGGGGGGGGGGGGGGGGGGGGATTTTCCCCCATGAACCCCTAGCTACAATGTGAGGCAGGAGGGTGATTTTTTAATTAATTTTTTTTTGGCGGGGGGGGGGGGGGGGGGGTGGTTGTAAGTTGTAGGCAATGAAAGGAGTCTCTGACCGTCTAGAGTCGTTCCCATCCGTCCGTCCGTCCGCCCGCTCGAATGCATGGAGTCTCTCGGTCCACCCGTCCGCTCGCTCGCTCGCTAAACGAACTGTTGTCTCTGTCCGATGTGTAGCGAGTCGCGACTACTCTTCACAAACGGACGGTTCGTTACCCGTCCGCTCGTTTGCGGGTAGTGCCAGCGGGTAGGTCGTTACTCGCGGACGCTAATTTTGCGAGCCCGACCCAACCCTACTGCCGTCGTAAGGGAAACAGACGAAGGGTAAAAAATTTTCTATTTTTTTATTTTTACATATTTCATATAGTATTTAATTCTGCATCTGATGGTGTAAAAATTTTTGTCATATCTTAATCCGTTGTTGCGTAATTGAGAGTTCGTCGTTTTCCCGTACACTGACGAGCTCCGAGCCAGAGCTCAGCTGAAGGGAGAACGACGAATGGTCGATCGGTCAAGGATCACTGCTCGTTCGGTATTGTCCCCTGGTCTCTGCTGTTGGGCAAATACTGCAAGGGCGACGAATGACAATTGGTCACTGTTGCGTCAGTACAAACATACTAGGTTTTTTGTACACAAACACACCACCACCCCCTCCCCCGGAGTACCGTCAACCAGGTTTATAAGAACGTATTACTTAGTGTGTCTTTCTGTCTGTCTTCCCGTATTAGGCCTATGCTGATGGTGTGAATTGACAAGAGCAGGCGGGAGAGAGGGGAAAACGGATGGAAACAGGGGGAAAGGGGTGGGGGTGGGAGGGTCAAAAAAGTATTTAGGGAGAAATTTATTAGCACTGCATATTACATTAGTGTCCGCCAGATGTTCACAAACTAACGTCATGTTAGTTTACTGTCCAGTCATTTGACACCCCAAATCCCAACGATGGTTATAGTGCCGCAATTTGTCTAGCACGTGTCACTGGTCGACATCACTATAGAATTACCAAGCAATTAATGACACTGCGTTATGAGAGTAAATTTCTTAGTCCAACTTAAAAAGTGGACGTATTGTGGCGACACTTAGTCTTGCTTTACGATTTTTTATGACTTGATGGACGTTATGATCGAGTATAATAATGTCTTGCAGATTCAAACTGTCCTTGTCGATCTCTACTTTGTGGTATGTTTTCCAATTCGATCAACTGAATCTTGTATTAAATACAAAGCGTCGCATTACCTCTCCCGAAAGCGTTTGTGATACAGTCTTTTCAGTTTGTTATATTTCTCACGTGAAAGTTTGTTCGACTTTGCAACGATCTTATCGTATTATTGACATTGTAACATTGTTGATCCCTTTGGTCGTGCAGGGAAAATTTTGCAATTAGTGAAAATAAAAGTAAAACTCGCTTCTGAAGAGAATACACTAAAGAGATCTCGTGGAGACCAAACCTTGGTTCTGAATGAAACAGTTTTAATTAAATCAAGCTGTTGAAAATGTGTGCACATCTGATTGGTACACTGACTGTGTACTATTTAACCAAGAGAGGAAGGGAAACGAAGGGCGTTTACCGAGTTACAGTTGGGATATAACAAACACCTAACTTTATACGTATAATAGCTAGTTTGTATACGTCTTATTTTTATTTGTAGTAACCAGTACACAGTCATTTCTGTCAATAATGCGTCACAATTGACCTTCGCCTCCGCCCATAAACGTTCACGAGTGTAAGGAAGAACGACGAACCGTACCATTCGTCGTTTTCGCTTACATCGCAAGGCTCACCTGCGGGTGCGCAGTGTAAGGGAGAACGACAAATGTCGAATAACTTTGCTACTTTTTAATCTAAACCATTCAAACTTTAGAAACTGCTTTATGAACACCTCAATCAGATATCTGGTGAATTACAGCTTAAAAGAGTGAAAAATAGAAGAGTTATAAAGTGAAAACTGTTTTTGCCTCTCCTGAAAAATTTGCCTCGCTAGCTGCGCAGGACCATTCGTCGTTTTCTCTTACGACGGCAGCCTAGTTTTTAGGTTTCTTTGGTTAAGCATTGTGCAGATAGGAAGAGAGAGTAAAGAGACCTGGGGGTGGGGGGCGGGGAGGGAAAGGGGGATCTGTTTCATTTTATGACAGCATACGCATAGGACAGCATCTAAACTGAACAGAATTATATCAAGAAAAGGATGCAGTATGCATACTTCATTATCACAGCGGATTAAACATCATAATGGCTTTAATGAAATTATGTGTTTTACAACGTAGTGCGAGAGATATACTCACTTTTAACTTTCCTATCCACGTCCTCTGTAAGCTCAGTGAAAACTGTAAAAGAAGATCTGTCCTCTGAGATCTCATTATTCTGTAGCCACCCGCCACAGGCAAATTCGTAGAAGTTGTCACAAGGGTGCACGTTGACGTCCACGTTTGTCATTATACGAGCCGCTGGGAATCAAAGATGTTAGTATAAACAGCTGACAAGGAAGGCCGAGAGATCAGACTTCAACATATGTTAATGACCACAGTGGCTTGATAGCGCTGGCTCAAGCAGACAATGACAGAGTGTGACACTGCCAGCCTTCTGGCAAATTCTCTGGAACCAACTCCATCGTGCAGCCATGCCATAGGGCGAAAACATAGAGAACGCTGATTTCGAAGAAGAAGAAGAAAAAGAAGAAGAAAAAGAAGAAGAAGAAGAAGAAAAAGAAGAAGAAGAAGAAGAAGAAGAAGAAGAAGAAGAAGAAGAAGAAGAAGAAGATCATCAATTAAGACGATGTTGATCATGATCATGATGATGATGGTGAAGAAGAAGAATAATTTAAACATTTTATATTGTTATTTTATTTTTGTCTAAAATTAAAACAAGACTCTCCCTCCTACCCTGCTTACCAAAAATGATGATGGTGAAGATGATGATGATAGTGATACTGATGATAATAATGAAGAAGCTTTAGAATTGTGTTCATAGATGCTCAAATATATAACTGCACGACAGCAGCCCCCTTTTTGGAGTGAGGGTTGTGCCTTGCTCAAGGACATACCCCAGTGACCACCCCCCTAAACGCCGTGTCAAAGGCACGTTCTTGACAGGACTGTAAGCCTGACTCACTAATTACTCATTCACTTGGGGAGAAGTAGTAATAGACACTTAGTCCGAGAACGGGTCGGGAGAAGAGGGAGATAGATAGATAGATAGATAGATAGATAGATAGATAGATAGATAGATAGATAGATAGATAGATAGATAGATGGATGATAGATATATAGATAGATAGATGGATGGATGGATAGATAGATAGATAGATAGATAGATAGATAGATAGATAGATAGATAGATAGATAGATAGATAGATAAATAGGTAGATAGATAGATAGATAGATAGATAGATAGATATGGGAAGGGGAGAAAGAAAGTGTGTGTGTGTGTGTGTGTGTGTGAGAGAGAGAGAGAGAGAGAGAGAGAGAGAGAGAGAGAGAGAGAGAGAGAGAGAGAGAGAGAGAGAGAGAGAGAGACAGACAGACAGACAGACAGAGAGGGAGAGAGAGACAGAGAGACAGAGAGAGAGAGACAGAGAGAGACGGGGGGGGTGGTGTTTATCCTTATGTTCCCATCCCAGCACTACTTTTCGTTTGTACAAGTATTTGATGGAAAGACATACTTTGAGGATGGTCATAATATAATCATAACGGAATTATAGCCAAGATCTCAAGTTCATATAATTAATTACCTGCTGTAACACATGCTGAGGTCAGGCAAATTCCGTCACCTACGAAGACAAAAAAAAAAGCCAACTGCTATAAAATGCGATATGACGTGTGTGTCTCAGTTCCGGTGAGGCTTATAATCTGAGTAATATCAAAGATAGTACATAACAAGATGGGCCACTCAGCCAAAAAAGTGTCTGCATGAAGTTCGCTCTTTGCTTCAGATGGCGCTGCAGTCTGTTTTGAAGCTCTCTTTCCTTTTTCCAGAA